ACTGCTTCCACTCTCTGTCCATCGGCTCATCACAAGAGACCATCCAGACAGAAACCCAATATTTTTACTGTTGCCTTATATATATATATATATATGAATGAGAGAGAAAAAAGTGACAATAAAGATTATCTTATCTCGTCCCATCCCAGAGACTAAAATTGTACAAGCGTTTATTACCTGGTAGATAAAGCCACTCATCCTTGGGCTGGCAGACAACATCAGCAAAATGTTAGGAAAGAGAAGAAGGTATCTTTCATTCTTTTCCTTATTAGAAAGAAGAAAAACCAGTAATATATGAAAATCAGATTAAGGCATGGTTAAATAAAATGCAGATAAACAAATGAGATGGCAATCACAATACTTCTCAAATCATCATTATTAAACCAGCACCACATTAGACATCTTTAGAACAAAAGAGGCTAAGAGATTTTTAGGACATATTCCCTATGGAGAATATAATCTTATTTGAGAGAAAAGGCAAAACACTCGTCTCAGACAGAGTAGTACTGATTTTCTAATAAAAGAAAATGACGTCTATTAGTATTATGATAAAATATTTATTTCTAAAAGACTTTATTCCTCTAGTAAATGTGAAATTCAAAATATTGTTTTAATGGCATAAATAAGACAAAGCTGAGACAATTTTAAAGAAGACAATCAAAAAGTCTACAAGTAACTATTTTGAAGGGGCAAATGTGTTGTATTGGCTCCTCTCTAGATTGACTTATTGAGTGCATTTTTAAGGCCACCCACTTGCCAAATGATTCTGAATGGCTCAGAGGAATTAAAAACAGTGAAAACAATTCTGGTACTAGTATAAGCAAAACCTGCCATACCTCACTGCCAGCACACTGAATCATGACTTGTGACATGTAAATTACAGTTCCTAATGTTTTAATGTCTTCTCCTTCCCAGCACCGGATGGCTTCAGTTAATATCTGGAGTTCAAGTTCTTTTCTTTTCCGTACTTCTTGGCACTGTGCCTATAGGACCAGAATAAAATATCACACCATGTGTCATATAACTGGAGTAACTATGAATAGTTGTTTTTGTACAGGTAGTTCTTGACGTACCACCATAATTGAGACCAAAATTTATGTTGCTAAGTGAGACAGTTGTTAAGTGAGTTTTGCCCTGTTGTATGACCTTTCTTGTCACAGTTATTAAGTAAATTAACACAGTTGCTAAGTTAGTAACACAATTGTTAAGTAGATCTGGCTTCCCCATTGATTTTGCTTGTCAGAAGCAACCATTATAAAATATGAGTCAATTTTGTTTAACAACTGTAGTAATAAATGACTGTAAAATTGGGTGTGAGAAACTTAATGACCCCCTTGCTTAACAACCAAAAGTCCCAATTGTGGTCATAAGTTTAGGACTATCTATAATGGAAGTGTCCGTGTTCTATTTCACCATGGAATATGCTTTGTTAACTTTTTTCTTTGCTACCACTCCAAAGAAAATGGTCTTCAAAAGCTACTGCTCTATTTTTGGAGTTCTACAAGTTACTTACAGAAAGATTTTTGAAAGCTGTCATGGATTTCTGAATGTCTGGTCGGTCAGGATGATAATCCTAAAAGAAAATTCAAAGGAAATGACTTTTCAACTTGTTTTGGAATTAATGTCATTTCCGTTAATACTGGATTAAACACTTAAGAAACTTTCCTCTTAACTACTTTGATTTAAGCAACTAATCTCTAAATAAGATCATGCCAGCAAGAAACAAATAATTTTGCAAGGAAGTTTTTCTTGATGGGAACCAATTTTATGAATGTTTATCTTTTCCTATAGAAATATTATTTAGATTGTTGTCTTCTTAGAACAGAAAATAAAATTTGGGCACTGTCAATTTTTCAAGCAATAATATGTAAATCAATATGAAACAATTAAAAATATGATTAATGGCACAATGCGCCAAAAATTCTCAAACTGAATATTTAAATTTAAAACTAAGATTATACACACGTGCAACAATATTAAACTAAAGCTTTTAATTCTATGTTTAGTACTGAAGACTCAGCCTTGAAGCAATAGTAAATAATATCTAGTAGATAAACCAACTATGTATTGTATAATAAAACTGCAATGGCACACTGCCAAATAAACTAAATGAGCTTTAGAATGGGAATATATGAAAAATATATGCTTCGCAATTCTCTCTTGAGCTGATTAACATTCAACCATCAAACATGTTCAATTATCTCTTCCTAATCTTGCAAAAGCATGAAAGAAAGCCACAAAATTTAGGAAAACGGAAAAACTCAGAATCAGCCCATAAAGTGGCATTTATACTGCATATTTCTACAATGCAGTTTCATAGTTCTGAATCATAGATGCAAAGTAAAACTGGCTTTATTCTTGTGTTATAGATTTCACAAGTCAACTGAAATAAGCATTAGTTTAGGATCACAATGTACTATGTCTTTCAAAATACAGTCAACCTTAAACATATAATCTAGCATTCCCAAACAATCACTTCTATGATCTCAGAGGAATAAGAAAGAAGTACTGTACTTTGTCATCAATCTATCTTTGAAATGCTATTTTAAGATGTTTGTCGAATCAGTATTAAACTGGAATGTAAATGCTGTGAGGATATACTGTACCTCCATGTGTCTTTCAAGCTCTTTGAGTAATGTGGGATATTTATCTAGACGCATAAAAGGTTTGCTCAGGCCTGTGGTCAGTACAAGAATCCCAGGACTGTTGGCTCCTTTTAGCTCCATGAATTCTCCTAACTCTTCACTGTATATACAAAAAGAAAAATAAACAAATAAACATTTGAAATGGGGAATTGCAGCCAGCCATATCTGTAAGAAATTTTCAAAAATATTCCAGCACAGTATCTTCTATATGTAGATCTGCACAATATTGCAGCATGCTGTGGCTTGTTCCAAATGACAAATCAACAGAATCAGAGCATACCGTCACACTACATCCCCCAAAAATCAATAGCTATGACTCAGCCTTCATTTGTTTAGAGACAAACTAGGCCACCCACAAATCTGCTTCAAATCTTTTTTATGCAACCTGGGGAAAATGGGGCAGGGAGGAGACCAAGCTGTCTATGGAAGTGGAGGGTCAAGAACCGGAAAATCCTGAACCCTGCCTGCTTTGCACCTTCTATGCACCCTCTATTTTAACATCCCACGACTGATCAACTTTTAAAAACAACAACGCAAAAAAATCTATTTTACTTTTTCTTATAATCCCTGAATGTTTTCCAAAACTCATCTCTCCACAGGGAAAGTAACCAAACATTAAGAGAGAGACTCGATGCTGTCACTACTCATTTTATTATAAAAAGGCAACCTATGAAAACATTCAAGTACCTTTTTTTTTTTTGCTTTACAAGAGGGACAATTAGAATGTTAAGATCCATGGTGACAAACATATGGCACGCATGCCGGAAATGGCACGCTAAGCCATCCCATGCAGGATGCATGGCTTCACTGGCTCCTCTTCCGCATTTCTATGCACATGCACGCACCAGCCAGCTGGCCTTCGCGCACATGGGAGCGCCAAAATCAGCAGCGTTCCAACATGCATGCACGCACCAGCATCTGAACCTCTGGGTTTCCATTGCGCACATGCACAATGGCTAGCTGTTTGTCGGGCCCACGCCCGTGCCAAAAATCGGAAATTTGGGTGACAGCATGTGCATGTGCAATGGAACGCTGCTCTTCCAGGTTTCAGCGCTCCTACGTGTGTGAAGGCCAGCGAGGCCACGTGTTCCTTGCGGGATGGTTTTTCGTGCCATTTCCGGCATTCAGGTCAGCACGCAAGTACGAAAAAGGTTAGTCATCATTGATCTAGATTATGTTTAGATTTCTTCTGAGCCTCACTGATCTTCCCTAATACAACTTTGAAAGACAAATAGAAAGGTACTACTTTAAAAAAAAGCTGTTAATATTTCCATGAAGAAAAGAGGTAGAGAAGATGAACAAGCCTTATTCACTAATATTTTCACAACCAAGAGAAATCCCTCCCTGTCAGTGATTATTTTGACTCTTCAGCTAATGAAATTGAATCTACTTTTTATGAAAAAAATATAATATAACTCCAAAACATAAGCTGATCTACACTACTAATAAAAATCACATATATATTATAAAAGATTTATATCATACTATTTTAACAAAAAGTTTTATTATGCAGAGAACTGTGATCTTATATTTACATAAAACATTAAATACTTAAAGCACAATTTGGATTTAAATATTAATAACTATTTCAATTTGTCTTTCTTGTGAAAAAACTTTACTTTGGGATTAAATGTGAATCTTGGAATCTACAGAGATTTAATCACACTAGAAAATCTCTTTCCTTAGATGATTCTACTGTTCACAAAATTAATGTGTATATTGTTCAAAATCATAGCTATTTTAACAAAGACTCTTTATGTGAGAAGCATTAACCAGCAAATTCACAATACACTGGACTAAAACAGAAAAATAAGAGAAAACAAATTCTTTAGTTGCACAAAGATCCCTGTGGTACAAAAATAAACTACTACGTATCATTTATTCAAAGCAGGTTAGCTACATAGAATAAATAAGCAAATTATGACTACTGACTAATATAGAATTACTGACCTGGTACAGTAGATCTTTGCTATCTAAATAGCCCTAATCATTTCCCATCTTACAAGAATGTTAAGTTTGACTTATTTCTAAATGCATGTATACAGAACTGTAATTTTAAAAAAGAGCTAAAGAAATCAATGAATTAAAACATAAGTTAAACTTGTCCTCCAAATTAAATCTAATCAATTATGTTATGTTAAGGTATAAAATCGCTACAAATTAAAAAGGAATGTTTTAAACCTCCAAGTACTTTCATCAGAAATCAGTCAGTAAACAATAGAACAAGAATAAATATAGATAATTATAAACAAATGCAAAACACTCAAAGCCATAACTTACACTTCCAGTTCCTGCCTATAATACATAGAACATGAGCTCTCAGAACTGAAAGGTCTAAAGATGTCACACAGACAATGCATGCTCAAGACCCTCCAGCAAATCTTTGACTCACTAAATGGATCTGAGCTCTTGACTGCCGTTCCACACTGAATGCCTTATTCTGAGGCTGTTGCTTCAAGTATGACATCACCCCTATGTTAGCAACCCTTGGGAAACCACATGAGGGAGGGACAATAGATTGTCTGCCTCAGATGCTTATCGGGATCCCACACGCCAATTAATCTCTCATAAGTGTGATTTTTCCAAGCTCCCCATTTTGAAATTTGATATTAAAAGCAATGAGACTAATGCAATAGTCATGACTAATTAAGTTCCAGCTGTATTATCTAAGTTTAGGCAACTACAGTTTAAGAAAACAGCAATGGTGTCTATTTACAAATAGGATTGTTACTTTGAAGCAATACAGTATTGTATGTTTTACACCTTATTCTTAGCTGTATTAATTTTTGATCAATTAAATGCTATCAAATAATATTTTACTCCTAGAAGCCATAATAACAATTTAAAAATGCTATTTTTTTCTATACTAGCTTTCATACCCAGGTTTCCCCAGGAAACATTACAATAAAATCATAGCATAAAATGTTTGAAAATATACACTAAGACATATACAAAGTATATCTTTTCTTCAAAATGTATTCTATTAACAGTACTTTCATAGGCAATCAATTCATCTCAGACAATTAAGCTGGCTGGTTTGATGACAGCCCTTATAATATAAGCAAGAGAATCCCTGAAGTGAAAAATAATACGGGTGTCATGTTAGGATGGTTGCATGGAAGTGCTTTCATTAGAAAATCTGGACAGAAATTCTTCCCAGCCAAACCTATTTGCACTATATTGTGCTTTATCAATTATAACAATTTTAGGTACCAGAAAAGGCAATGTTCTGGTATCATTCTAAACTTTAGAATGGCCACCAGGCAAAATTCTAAACTGAGCATGAAATAACTTCATTTAATGGCTGTTAAAGCAAGTTCAGCTACTTGCTACTAACTCTTAAATTCACAGCACAATCACATTAAAAGAACTTTAGGCAGACACACATTTTTGATAACTGTTATATATGTGTTGTGAGGGAAAGACGCAGGAGCCATGGAATCAGAGAGTAAGATGTTTATTGCGAGATGACAGCAATTCGAACTTTTCCTGAACAGTCAGGGTATTTATACTAGCACTCAGACCAACTGTCAAAATGACCAGCCAATCAGGTCGCAGCTAATATCCAACAATAACAATGACAATGCTACTACCATGAACATTACTAGCAGGGAATCTTTAGAAAAAGTCTTTTTCCCCCACAAACTTCCAAACTACCTTGGTATACATAAATACCAGCACTTTTTCCAACAATCAATAATCACTTGCAATAATAGCATACTGCTGAGCAATCTCCTCATGCAGCAACGTGAAAAGACTTTTTAAAAATACATAACAGCAAGAAGAATAAAAACAGTTACACTAGATCATGCCAAAGGTCCCACGAGCTCCCATGCAGCCTCTGATAGTGGCTAACCAGATTCTTCCAAAAAGTGCACAAAAAGGCTTTAAGGCAATAATCCTTCGGCTATTCCCTTCCAAATATTTGGTATTCTGTGGCATTCAGCCTCTGAACTCCAGTGTTCCTCACAATCATTTGTTTTAATTATTTATAAATTATCTCTCCAACTATGGTATTTTTCCAAGGAAACATACAAAATATAACATTAAAAAATTAAAGTAATGATATTAAACACAAAGACAAACTCAAATAAAATATTACTTCAACCAGCTATTCTACTATAAGGTCTAACAGATTTTCTATCATGTATTTATTAGATCTCTACCATCCATAAAAGCCATCAAAATGTTGCTTTAAATGTTTTAAAAGACATAGGCAGAAGATGATGAAAACCAATTATTAACCAGTAATTTAATAGGCTAAAAATAGAGAGAATACTAGTTTAATGGGAAAAAATATCATTGTTAAAAACATTTGAGAAGGCCTTTTCCCACCTAGTTAACAAACCGGCCTTCTAAAAATGCTTATTGTCTCCAAAAAGAAATACCTCTTGTAGATCATAACTAGAATGTTTTATAAATTATCCTAAAACAACAAAACTGCTAACCTAAGCTTTTAAAACAGAATGGAAAAAACTTTTAATGCTTGGTTAAAAAATAGGAAAGAGACCACTATCTCATATCCATTTGACGAATTATCACTTATGATGAATCCATAAGCAAAGCTTCTTTTAGGTTACATTATAACTATCCAAATCCTTTGGGGGAAAATGCAATCCACAGGAAAATATACAAAGTAGTTGGCTGTTCAGTTGCCCATACATTGCCAATAATCAAGAACAACCTTTGAAGCAATTGCATGAGAAGGATGCAACTTTTAACTATTCAAAGAGAGGCACTTTGCATGCATTCTGCCTTATGAAGAACCTCTTTCAAAGGATTTGCATGACCTAATTAATATTGATGCAATGAATATACTAACTAAATCCTGAACCATTCAAGATTTTAAAGTTTAATACCAACGCTATTCATTTTCTATGATTCTATATATAGATCAGGTGGTATTCAGCTGGTTCTGACTGATTCGGGTGAACAGGTAGTGGTGACGATCAGTTGGCCCCACCCACCTGCCCCTGTGCTATCCTGTCCTATTTTTCCTTTTTCCTGGCTCAGCTGATTCACAAGGCACAGCTGATTTCCACACCTCTGCTGTTCTACTTACCGGGCTGCCTTAGAAGGTAAGCAGCTGAGCTTCAAATTGCCGTATTTTGAACGCTGTGTGAGAGTGCATTAGGCATGTGTGCACAAAAAAGCGTGCATGCACCCACTGAACCAATTGTTAAACTGGTTGCATCAGAGGTAGGTTCCTACCGGTTCGGACCGGTGCAGCCGAGCAGGTAGTAACTTGGCCTGCCACACCCCCGAACTGGTTCTCTACGCGGTGCCTATGTTTTTTGCTTCCGGCAGTAGCAGCAGCCGGAACCCATCCCTGGATTGCATCCCACCACTGGCATGGATATACTAGAGAGATCTTTTTAATTTGAAATTAGCAAACTTTTTTTGAAGAGAATATCAAGCTACATATTTTAAAGAATCTATATTTATGTTCAAGTCCAACACAAAAACATTGTTATTTATGACTCAAACTTTTCAAATGCATTTCCACGACAACCACATGAAAATACCAAGGCAATAGGCTTATATTAGTTGCCAACATTATTTCTGAAAAAGAAGCAAAGCATAAACGTACAAGATCTTCCTTATTTGTATCATTTCTAGGTGCACATACCTGTGTTCTGTAAGAACAGTTACTGCTGATGGGTGATTGGCACAATACATAAGGTATAGGTTTTTCATTTGTGGCATGAGATTTAGAAAGCAACCCCCAACCCTCTGCTGGGCTTCAGGCAATCTGAAATAAAACAGCATCAATGTACCTTTTTAAAATTATCTAAAATGCCTTCAAATTTATCAGGACACAGATGATACTGATCTCAAAAATCATGTGAATATTCTTATTTCGATGGAAAAGATAGTGAAGGAAACAAAGTAGCAGGAAATACTGTAGTTCTACAAATTACTATTTAACATATCTACATATCAATTTATAAAATATTATTCTCAATCAACAATTAAAATACAGTAAACGTTAATGTTATATTTTACACCGATTACTATTTGGTAGAAAAATAATTCGATTCAGTTCAAGACAACAATCAATTCAAAAAGTATGAAAAGGGGGAAAGTAAAATAAACCCACTCTTAAAGTGAAGCTGGGTCTCCAATAGCGTCTGAAAAAAGGTAATTCTAGATGGTTTAAATTTAAATGTAAATAAAAATGAAGAGTTGGTTGCAAGATGAGTGGCTACGGTATATGTTTAAAAAAATAAAATAAATAAAATAAAGCAAAATGTGAACCTGGCTCACTAGCTATCTGTCCACAAGTACACCTGCACTAATAATTGTGAAAGTAGTGTACAGCCACTTATCCACTCTGAAATGGTACTTTTGAAATGGGGGGGGGGAGATATTCTGTGGTAAAAAAAAAAATTCAGTAAACACCAGGGGGGGGTTTCAACCAGTTCGCGGCGGTCCCTGCGAACCGGTTGGTCGGCGAACCCGGAAGTAAGTAACTTCCGGGAACGGTGAAGGGGCCACCCGCCCGCGGTCCTTACCCATTTTTGACGAGTTCTGCGCTTCCACGCATGCGCAGGACGTGTACAGCGCCTGCGCGATCCTCCAGGAGCAGCTGGAGCATCGCACAGACGCTAGTACACATGCATGCACCGCGCGCGTGCACAAGGACGCTGCCGGCCCCGTTCCAACCGAACCGGTTGGAATGGGGCGAGAAACCCACCCCTGGTAAAGACTGTTTAAGTTTATAAAAAACAGTCATGCTTAATAACAATCCTACATAAAACAGGTCTGGAAGTTTCATTTTTAAGACTATATCATGAAGCAGCATATTTGGGACATACATTATCATTCCCACTGCAACTATTCATATGAAAATAGTTGCAGTGAAATAACAGTACAAAGTTGGCACATTTCAATAAGAATAGAACAAATATCTCACAACTACCCAACAAAATATTAGTAAAGTTGTCAACAAAAGGAAACACTTTTCGTCTATGGTGAGCATGTGGGAAAAAATGGAGCTTTTTTAGAAGAAAATACTGAAATAATTAAGAAGTAAGATTAAACAAAAAAAATAGAATGTGCTCCTGAAATGGGATTATATATTTTCAAGAAAATTAATGCTAAATTTCATAATAAGGAACCATATATATTTTTACACCTAGCAGCTAAATTAATTTTAGGGGATGCCTTTGAAGATTACCCGGAAACTACAATTGGTCACACACTCTTAGTGACTCTGGGCGGCTTACAAACAATAAATACCCAACATGAAAAAATAAAAAACAATCCTCCCCACACACTACTTACTTAGTGCATTCTTCTAAAGACTGTACAAGCATTTGTTGAAAAGAACTAATTTCTTCTAGGTTTCCCATTAAATATGAAGTATCTGCAGAATTTAATCTGTAACCAAGGAAATAAGGACATTAAAACAAAATACTTCTTTAAAAAAAAGCAACATCTTCCAAATTAGCCTTGGCATCAAGGAGTTGTCTCTTGTTCACTTGTCAATTCTACTTTTTTTTTTTTTTTTGTAGCAGATCCAAGACCAAGAAACATGATTGTTTCAATTAAACTGATTTAATGCTAAAAGCCTATGCGGCAGAATCTTCTCAACTAAGGTCAGCAACTGGTTAGAGTTAGATGAAGGTTAAGGGCACTCAAGGGGGGGTGGACTTAGTTCATTTGTGGCTACACAGGGATTCTAGGCTAATTTCTTTTTCATTCTGCCCCTAACTTCGGCCATTCCTTCTACACTTTTGCACAACATACCCTGTTTCCCCGAAAATAAGACGTCCCCAAATAAGCCCAATCAGGCTTTTGAATGCATGTGCTAAAATAAGTCCTCCCCCGAAAATAAGCGCTCCCCTAAAATACTGCAACACAGCAGCAGCCATGAGGTGACCACACTTGCCGCCTCCTGCACCTCAAAAATAATAAGACCTCCCCGAAAATAAGGCCAAGTATTTATTTCAGGGTTGAAAAGAAAATAAGACCCTGCCTTATTTTCCGGGAAACACGGTAATACAATAGAACAATTTGCACTGACCATATATTCTATCTAAAAAACTTTCTCCTTTCATTTAGGAAATTGGCTGCTCTCTTCCACTACAAAACAATCCATATGGGAACATGTAAGCAGTGTAGATAGAACTGCAGTTGAAGATGTGCAATACCTGAAGAAATTAGAAAACAGGTAGTATCCAGAGCAGACTTCGATAGAGTCAAGACAGAAGGAGCCAAGACAACTGATTATTATGAACCAACTAATTCAATATACTGTATAGGCAATGCCATCTAAAAAAAGTAATGATAGATAATCAATTATTTTAAGAATGGCAACTTATGTTTCTATGTGCCTTTCTAAATTGCACTTTTCTAACAAACTGCTCTCTTTCGCTATCAAGCTACTAGGAGTACAGAGATTGCTGAAAAAACATAAACGCTACTAAAAAGGTTATTAAGTAAAATCTTTTTTGGGAGCCAAACTTGACTTCCAAATATATCTATGAAATTTTCTTGGGAGTAAAGTGAACATTATTTGCCATTACTTCTTCCAGGTTCTGTTTAGAATTTCCCAAGCTAGTTTCTTGACGATCTCAAATACAAATACAGTTAATCCTTACAACCACTGGTTCAGCAACAGTTGGAAGTGACATCACTGCTGAAAAAACCTATGACCCATGCCCAAAGTTATGATCGTTGCAACATTCCCATGGTCACATGATCAAAATCTGGGCACTGGACAGGCCTTCTGCACTTACAACCACAGAGGCGCTGCAACTCCCCACACCTATTTCCGTCTCATCTATGCCCCTTTGTCCTCCCTGCACCCTGACTTGCAGAGTTGCAGGCAGCCACATAACTGCACAGCTCTGGAGCTGTTACCACCCAATGGGAATCCTCAGCTGTCTCAGAAACATTTGTTCATCCAACTGCCTTCTCTACCAGTTGCCTGCACCAGCCTTTCACCTTGTGTGTCAGCCACTATGGCCGAAATAGAATGCCTCTCTGCCTTTCCTGTCCTCTTTCTGGACCTTGCTTCCCTGGTAAATGTTTTCTACAAATGTTTTCTATGATTGTGCTGCCTTTGGAAAGCTGTGCAAACCTAGGAAAGCCTTCTGGGGCTGTTTACCACATACTAGGCAGTGTTCAGGGTGGCCAAAGGACAGTTATGGGATGGGGAGATAAGTGGGTGGGAAAAGTTGGGAGGCAGTCCCTTGCCTTACTGTGACTCTGAACCATGAAGGACCAATCCTGCAATCCCACTTAGACTGGGGTGAGCACTCACTAAGCGACTCATAATTCTCAGTTAATTATTGTAATGGGGAGTGCTGAAATTGCTGTAAGTCAGTCCAGTCACATAGATGTTTTGCTTTATGGCTGCATTGCTTAGTGGTGGAAATTTTGGTCTCAATTGTAGTTGTAAGTTTCAGACTACTAATCACATCCAACAGTGGCTCTGGATCTCCCAACTATCTCTAACATTTTTTACAGCCAAGTACACTTACTTTTCACTAGTTTGTAAGGGTCGTAGATAACTAGAAAGCATCGTCTGCAATTCCTTAGCATATTCATTTTCTGTTTCCAGAATATTCTGTAGCACCTACAACACATAAAAGTTTAAATCAAAATTGTTACAATTATGAAGAAAAAAAACAAGAAGTGTTAGACATGAAAATTCTCTGAAAATGTTTTATTCCTCAGAAAAGGCGTGAAAAAGTACAAATTCTCAAGACTATGCAATGAGCACAGAAAAGAGATTAAAAATGAGAGGGCTTATCATAACTCAAAAGAAAAACATGATTTGTAAGCAAAAGGCTCAGCTTCAGATAGGCCAGGGCAATCTTAAACCCCAGAGAACTCATTGACAAATCACATACAAATCATATATTGTGGATGGATCTATTGTTTGATTATGTATAAGAAAAAAATTGCATTTAAATGTATTTTAGTTATTCAAGTCAATGATGGCTAAACTTTTCTAATTAGTGTGCAAAAAGAAAATTTAGTGATTATTTAGAGTACAAAATAGGATCACGTTCTGCAGCATTTTCTCTGCTTTTAGAATGATATTGCTATAATCTATTTATATTAAAGTTGGTTAAAAATTGAATTTCTGCCCTCTAGGGTAAAATTTTAGCAGTATATAATCTGATGCATCAGAAATACAAATACAATTTCAAATCTACTGCTGTGCTCTGTTTTACATCTTTATCAGAATTATATCAAAATTTTATTATAACATCTTAGTAATATATTTCACAATTTAAAGAAGTCCAAATAAACAATCCAATAAAATGCAGCCAATTTATAGCCTGCTTGGTATATAAAAGAGTTATTCATGCCTGAATGAAAACCTGATGAAACAAGGGACAGACTAAACTATTTAAAACTGAGAATTTGTAGATTCTTTCATTAGTGCTGCTGAGCTCAGTTTGGAGGCCTTGAATAGGCCTATTCACTTGAAAAGGGGAGGAGGAAGGGAGACTATTTCTGAGTTCATTCTTTTGTTGGTAACTTGACTCCTGCCCCAAAGATTAAAATGTCTCCATTCTGCACTAAGCATTACGAATGACAGATGTTACAAAGAACCTATAAACTATTAAAACAGCAGTTTCAAAGTACAGTACAAAAAAAAAATTGAAAACTGCAAAAATCAGAAAGATTATACTATTTAAATTTAGGAAAGTAAAATGCAATAGCATAAAATCAGCAGATTATTGAAAGGAAGTGAGGCTAAACAACAGAAAATTAGCAAACCGTTTTCTAATCCAAGAAGAAATTAGGTAATGAGTGACTTAAATTGTGGGAAGGGGAGTCTAAAACAAGGATCCACCAAGCAATTTATCCAGCCAGGTTTTCAAATACTACGAAGATTATCAAATGCTACTCTCTATTATGTGTTCTAATTGTACAGATCAAATTGCTATTTAATCATAAATATGCATTTGGTTTAAATATGTTTTCTATTCAACTATCTTTTTAGGGGTTAATAAAGTATTTTTGAAGTTAAAATAAATACAGTTACCCTCTCTAATTTGAACAAAGATTTTATCAATAAAACAACTGAAGATGAATTAACAGAAAATAACAATTTAATCAAAGCAAAGTGCATCTTTCTCAATTCTCAAAAAAGGGCTCAATTCTTTAAATCATCTTACATTTCCCACAGTCATGAAAAACTGCTTAAAGTATTTTAATTTTAGGATTCATACAAACATTTTCTTCAAAAATTAATACATTATTTTTTACACTCTCTTTTACACAGATGCCATATTGATCACCAATGGAGAGAAAACGGAGTACTATAACTGCAGCAGTAAAACTGCAAATACATTAGTACATCACATTTTACATGGCTGCATTTAATAATTTCTGATGTCCCACTTTAATAATCACCTTTCTCCTCTTTCCTGTTTTCTGCACATTCAGACAAGACCCCATTATATTCCAAACTTGATTCTGAAAACTTCATCACCAATTCATGAAATTAGGTACTAAGTGTGGATTGCTCTGACAGACATGGTAACATTTTACAATGTGGAATATAAATGAAATGCCCAGAGAGCCCTGTGAGCAATCCAGAAAAAAATTAAGTACATCAAAAGTTCATTCACACAAAGCCTAGCTATTCTCCCTAAAGGAAAAGCTCTTGTTCATCTTTATTTTAAAACTGAATTTCTTAAAGGCGTTTATCACTATTAGGTATACCGAAAGCCAGATCCTTTTCTCAAAAACATGAAATATAAAATATATTCCCTAATGATGAAATTTGTCATTTTACATATTTAGGAACTACTGCTGAAAACAAAGGTGCATGATTTTCCCACTTCTATGCATACTGCATATATGTCTCCATCCACGGATCAGAGCAATCTTTTTTAAAAATCTAGTTTATACAGAATATGGAATGATTTAAATCAAAGATCCATAATAATCCTTATACATACATTTCGCATTCTGAAATAATCCAATATAAAATTTAACTTTGTAGCTCTATAGCGAGATTATTTAATATTAAACCTAGAGCCGTGATGGCGAACCTATGCCACACGTGCCACAGGTGGCACAAGGAGCCATTTGTCAGGGCATGCTTCTTTTGAGGCCATTTTTTGTGAAAAACAGCCCTACCGTCAAACCGGAAATGCCAGTTTGCTCATAGGGTCGTTTTTTGCCCTCCAGAGCCTTCAGGGAAGCCTCCGGAAGGCCCCTGAAGGCTCCGGAGGGCTAAAACTGGCCCTACAAGCAAACTGGAAGTGCCTTCCTGAACTTCTGGTTTGCCCGTAGGGCTGGTTTTTGGTGCTCCGGAGGCTTCAGGGCCTCTGCGGAGGGCCTCCGGAGGGCCTCTGCGGGGGCAGGGGAGGCTGTTTTTGCCCTCCCCAGGCTCCTATAAGGCCTCTGGAGCCTGGGGAGGGCAAAAAAAGCAAGCCAAAAAGGGGGGAAGGGCTGGTCATGCACGCATGCATGCTGGTGTCGTGCGTATTGCATTATGGGCATGGCACACCCGCACATGACCCCCCTGTGCTCCCCCCGCTTTTGGCACACAAGCCAAAAAAGGTTTGCCATCACTGACCTAGAGAATATTATACTGGTTTTTTTTTAAAGCTAGAAAAATAATTGCTGTATAATTCATTATTAATCAATTACAGTCTTAATTCCTGGGCCACTGGCCACTGCACTCACTGTTTTAGCTCTACAAGAGACATAAAAGAAAATGCCTGGATAAATTTTAGTTTCTGGAAAATATCAGCTAAGCAGGTCTCTTGAATTTTTTTTAAAAAGACCTGTTATAAATTTTAATGCACAATCTGTCATACGGCAAAAAGCATTAATTTGTTATTTTGTCACAAAAATAAAAGCTGTTGTGAGATTTTCAATGTTTCAACAGATGTTCAAGGAAGACGATTATTTTCTCCTATCACAAATGTGGTACAGGTTATATAACCTAACCATCACAGATGAAGAAGACAGAGTGACTAAACTATTAAAGTATCTGGTTTTTATCCCTTTATGCCTACCAGCATCTTGTTCATCTTTTTTTTCCATTTTAAGATTATACAGTTGGAGGTTGGATGATGAAATAAAAACCCTTCATTCTTGTCAATTTTTCCAATTTTGGAATAGGTGGCAAAAATGGTAAATTTTACTATGATTTTGCCACTTTCTGAAATAAAGACTGGAAATGTAAACAAGAGTTATAGACAATTCTTAGTAAACCATCTGGCTCTTCATCTAGCAAAAAAATTGTGCTAAGAAAATGAAAAACTGTTATATCAAATAGCAGGTATTAGTGATTATCAATCAAGCCCATCTAGTGCATAGATAAAGACTAATACTGAAATGAAAAATTAGAATCAGTATAATATCCCAGTGTATCCATTATACTTTCTGCTAGTTCTCAAGAAATTCCTAAAATCTTTTGAGCCAGCAAGGTAAATATAGATAGAACTGTAAAGATAGTCTCATTGTATTAATAACATCAAAAAGGTGGAATGGGAGCACAGCCCACCTCCAGTTTAAAAAAAAAATACTACTAAAGCAAAATACTTGATGCCAATGGTTTTGATACAGTAATGATGTTATATAATAGCTTTGTGACTGATGAGGACTAGAAGCAGAACAGTAGTACAATTCTGCATATTTCGTATGGCACCAATTTAGCAATGCTGGGTTTTTAAGATAATTTAAATGTAATATTAGGTATGTATCAACAGTTATCCATAGTTGTATCCTATCCTCAGCAGTGTTCAACGAAGACAGTATTCAGAGACAGAGACAAGACTGTATAGTATGTGAATTTTAGACTCTGCAACTAAAAGTTGCAGAGAAAAGGTTGGGGAATGGTGTAATGCAGGAAGTAGTTAATATGGATATCTGCAAATTCAACAGTTACTGCAACTTTAAAGTCTAATTTGCAGAAGATTGATGGAAGACTTGGAAGGTAATAACAGGGAGTCAGTTCAATAAATATTTGACCAAAAAGGCAGGAATCAGAGGGAGTCACATACTCCCAGGGCAAGTCTCCAGGTCTATTAACCAAAAATGAAAGGGACTATAAGTAACAGTATAAGTAATAAGCAACAAAAATGGAAAATACAATCAGAAAGCAGAGGAAAAACAAACTAAAAAAAATAGGTGTGCGATTAACTTCAGAATAAGGAGCAAATGAAGTTTACACAAGGCAGCAAATTCAGCACGCCAATGAGAACTTATCTGAAATACAATATGTTTTGTGAAGTGAAGCAAGTAAGAGATCCAACCTCTCCTTTATAAACACTCTTGTCAATGCTACTGCACAGACATCAAATCTATATGCTGCACAAGACTATAGGGAAACAAGAGCTAACAGTGAAAACAACCATGCAAAAAATTATTCAGCATCAGCCTTCAGTATTTATTATACAATTTTTACTATATAAATTTACCCTTTCCCCCTGAAAAATAAGACCTCCATGGATAATAAGCCCAATGGGGCTTTTGAGCGCATAGGCTAAAATAAGCCCTCCCCCCAAAAAATAAGCCCTCCCCTAAAATATTTAAACGCATGCGCAGTTGGTCTCTGCCATTTCCTGGGGGGAAGGAGGGGAACATTCCCCACGCACCTCACATGCACCTGTCATCCATGTGGAATGACCTTCTCTTAGTGGCGGCCACAAAAAGAACCCAGCAGGCCCAGTGATGATAGGGCTGGCAAGAATATACCAGAAACAGAGACAAAACTTTCAGCCCTCTTTGGATCAGCTGATCCGCAGGCCAAGATTAAGGGGCCTCTAGCACCACAAAAATAATCAAGCCCTCCCCGAAAATAAGGCCAAGCGTTTATTTCATGGGTCAAAAGAAAATAAGAGCCTGTCTTATTTTCAGAGAAACAAGGTATATAACCACGCAACTCACAGACCCTGGGTGGCTTATAACCTTTTAAAAAACTAGGCGTATAATTTTTAAGGTTGATCCTTAAAACACATGACCTGTAGTATACAGAAACAGAAAGTAGAAATGAATGCCAAGTCTTCTGGATTGTAAAAACAGATGAGAGGTGAAACTCCTGGGTCTTGGCTGGTCACAAGGTAAGCATGGCTGATTTTTAAGGTACCACTGATTTTCTTGTTTTAAATATATATAGGCCCTGCAGATTTCTATCCTTTGGAAAAATACACTGATTTCAATGTACAAGCCTAAACAAAAGCCAACTGTTAAATAAGATTCACATAAAGTCACTCACCACATTGTAATAGCTTTTGCTAATAGCAGTTGTATCAAACCCTTTTGGAGGACTTTTCAAGCTTCCTGATTTAGGAGAGACAGGTTTTTCTGAAACAAAGATTATTTCAATAAAATATATTTTCACATCTTAAAACCTGATGTTCAAACAATGCACTCAAGACAATATTCAGATTGATTTACTTTAAGTTACATACTGAACTTATATAAGTTAAAGTATTATTATGTAAGTTCAGTGGGGCCCAGTCAAGATATAGCAAAACCTTTTTGCCTATGAGCTCTATATTTCATCCTTCCTTTTCCAATAAGGGAAAGATGTAGAAAAAGTGCCAGGACATTTTTATTGAACATGTGTCTCAATATATTTCATCGAGAAAAAATTGTTCCACACTTGGCATATAGTAGCAAGCTATGGTTAATTGAAGCAGCAAAAAGGAAAGAGAAATGAAGTCATGTATATAGGCATAAAACTTTTTCTTGATTTATCTTATTTAGTCAAGACATTGTTGTCTAAAAAAATCAAGTCAATTAAGCAAAACACAGTTTTAAAAACCTTACATGACAAAACACATGTAATTAAACACATTTTTAATCATATGGTGATTAAAAATAACAAGGAATACAAATATATGAAAGTCACTACCAAAAGAACTTCCACTTTAAAGATAAAAATACCTGCCAACAATTACCGTATTTTTCAGAGTATAAAATGCACCTTTTTACTCCAAAAAGGAGGGGAAAATCTGTGTGCAGCTTATACTCTGAATGTAGCTACCTGGGCCGTCTGAAAACGGGGCAGGCGAAGCAGGCGTTGCAGAGTTTGTGATGGTTGGAAAGGAGAGAGGTTTCACTTTCAGGGCTCCCATTCGGCAGGGCTCCCACTCGGGCTTAGGCTGTGGCAGTGATGGGAATGATCTCCTTTTTACGAAAGCTTTTCTCAGAACGCTAGATTGGGAAGCTAAAAACCTGAAATGGGGTACAATCAAGCTTGATTCAAAGGCTTTGGCTCCTGAAATCGATCCATCCAAAACGCTGGTACTACGATCTCCGCAGCACCCTCTTTATCTGCCCCTTCTTGGGTGATTCCAGGTGGCAGAGATTGTGGGAATAACATTTCCGGGTGGCAGCGTACCGATCTCAGGAGCCAAAGCCTTTGCATCAAGCCTGATTGTGTCCCATTCTAGGTGTTTAACTTCCCAATCTAGTGTTCTGAGAAAAGCTTTTGCAAAAAGGAGATCCTTCCTCTTCCCTGCCCTTCCTCCACCCACCCACCAATCTCTCCAGATTCTGAGGAGCCAAAGCCTTTGAATCAAGCTTGATTGTCCCCATTTCAGGTTTTTAACTTCCCAATCTAGCATTCTCCATCCCCACCCCAAATCTCTCTGGATCTGCTTATTGCTTTGCTGCTATTGCGCCCAGCTACCGTATCTTTTTGTTGCATGACAGATCCCACCGGATTGGGGGGAGGGGGAGAGGAAGGGAAGGATAACAATCTCCTCATCTGAAGTATTTTCTCAAGATGCTAAATCTTCACTTTCTCTCCGGGGAAAAGCTATTGGCATCGTTGGGATCTTGCCTAGTGGAAGAAGTGCAGGATGAAAAGGAAACTTCGTAATGCAGGAGCACCAGGTCAGGAGTCTCTCTTTAGCCTGGGACCTGCTTTTGCCCTGAGACCAAAGAAGTGGGGTTGCCAAGAGGGCTGTGAACAAGCCTGGTTGTTCAAGGAGGCAGCCGCCATGTGTCATGTTTTCAAAAAAAACCAGAGTGCAGAGTGCTCCTGGGGGCCGGGGAGGGCAAAACCTTTTTTTTTAAAAAAATTATCCCTTCAAAATCTTGGTGTGTCTTATACTCCGGTGCATCTTATACTCTGAAAAATACGATAAGTGACTTGCAACTGCCTTTATATTTGCAAAAAACAGTGCTTTAACAAAAAGCATTATGTCTCCTCCTTAGATAAAAAAAAACGATTGCAAGTGTCACTCTTCCAGCTTTTATGTCTTTTTATAAAGAGATGTATTGCTTTTTTGTCAAAAGAAATGTCTCTCATTCCACATGGAATACACTACTATCTTTAGAATTGGAAAACTCTAAACAGCTATAATCCATCTAAAAGACTTGGATGGGCAAAAGGACCAAGAGGTCAACTAGAGCAGATTTGGCATTTGTATCCACTTATCAAATTCTTCCAAAGAACAGGAATAGGCAGATGTTGTTACCTGATAGTGTTAAAAGTATTGATGCAGGATGTAAGCTATTCTAAGCAGAGCTGCCAACTGCAATTGACTAATGATGATTTTGTCAATGCTGGTGGTGTTCAAGTGGTGCTCTAAATATTCTGGGATTGCACTCAAGGTGTCTGTTACCATTTGTATATTTGCTTTTTCTTCCCACAGACATTCTACTTCTATTTGAAGTTCTTTGCATTTTGTGATTTTCTCCAGTTCTTTCTCTTCTCTTCTGCTCTCTCCAATCCACTATCCAGACTTTTTTATTTTTCCTATCAACAAGTTTGGGATGTTCTGTGGCTAGTGCCTGTTTGTTTGAATTCTAAAGTCTCACAGCAGATTAGTTTTTTCATTTTCTATTACTTTCTATATTTTATGGTCCTACAAGTTCTTGCTTATTTTATTATGTTGAAGATTCATTGCACAGCCAACCAGATGTTGGCTGTGCCAACCAGCCAACCAGACTGGATTTGGCATTTTTATGCACTTATTAAGTTATTTTTAAAGACCCGGGATTATTATTATTATTTACACAACTTTGTGAAATCACAGCTGCCAGTCCTTTAGCTGGTGCTGGCCTTCACTCGTATCAAGTTCTTCCCAAGTATCTTGGATATTGTAATGTAATGGCATTATTATATTAATTCATTTCACCACTGGAATTGGACATCTAATTAATTCAAATAAATAAAGTAATTAAAGTAAATTTACATTTTATGCTCCTGAATAGCTACCAAATTTATTTAAGGTTATTGAGAAAGGCAAACTCTTGAAACTTACCACTGGATTTTACTTCTCGCACATAATTGCTGGGAAACCATCCTGTTTTGCCATTGTGAGTTCCTTCCCACCAGCCTCCTTCTTCTACTCTTGTAACATGGATAATATCTCCTTTTGTAAAAGAAAGTTCATCTTCATTTGTCTGTTGAAAATTAAATTTAGCTCTTACCACTTGTTGGTAGTTGCTGTTATCTGTCATATCCTAGAAATGATGAGACCAGTAAAATAACAACATTTTAGGTACTTTTCAAAAGAACAAAATATTCAGATAAAAATTTAACAATGTATTGTAAGGTAAAGCTACCATATCTGCTTCTTCAACCTACATGCATATATAATTCTATAATTTTAAAAAATTATATAATCAACCTTTCAACTGTATATAATCCTAATCAGTTACTGCTTTGATAAAACTGCATTAGAACGGATTTTAGGTTCTAAAATTATAACACCACAACAAATAAAACTGATTCTATTCTATTATTCTATTTGAATAATATTATCATTTTGTCATAATTCTGACTGGTTTGTGTATATCAAGTAGTTTATGTGTACCAATTTGGATATAGAACTGTTGATCTGTACTGTAGTAACTTCATTTTTAGCTGAAATTGAAACATAACTAACCAATATTCCAGTGGTAAACTGGTATAATTAAGACTTTTTTTAACACATTAAGTATCCAGATTTAGACACATGAGTAGCTCATAATTGCTATATTCCAATACAGTTAAATACCCTGAAGCTCATTTATTTCAAATTACTTCAGCATAAATTAATATACTGGACTCTTGAGTGTAATCTATCTCAATGCAGCAGCATCAGAAAGAAGATATTGCTTTTTGTTGTGCCTCAAAAAAAAAAAAAAACCCCAAGAGAAGCAAAAACAATGTAAAAATCTTGGACACCTTAGGTGAGCAACAAACTATCAGCTATCAATCTGACACAAGCTTTTCACTTTGCAGCTCTGATTAAGGAAAATAAAAAGCTATTAAAATGTTTTAACGCTTACCAGACTTCTATACTGGCCTTGGAAAAGTTTTGAAGTTCTACTGTGTAAAGACTGGGATCCCAAGGAATCAAAAGACTTTATCCGGTGAGATGACGGCCTTGCACACACAGAATCACTTCCTAAACCAATATCTGGTGAGGGGGGAGGAAAATGGTACATATATATGTATGTAACATTTAAATGTTAACCTATACTTTATATATAATGTTAGATTTAATAATCATGATCATAATCATCATCATCATAATACAATAGCAGAGTTGGAAGGGACCTTGGAGGTCTTTCAGTCTAACCCCCTGCTTAGGCAGGAAACCCTATACCGTTTCAGACAAATGGCTGTCCAACATCTTAAAGACTTCCAGTGTTGGGGCATTCACAACTTCTGGAGGCAAGCTGTTCCACTGATTAATTGTTCTAACTGTCAGGAAATTTCTACTCAGTTCTAAGTTGCTTCTCTCCTTGATTAGTTTCCACCCATTGCTTCTTATTCTACCCTCTGGTGCCTTGGGGAATAGTTTGACTCCCTCTTCTTTGTGGCAACCCCTGAGATATTGGAACACTGCTATCATGTCTCCCCTAGTCCTTCTTTTCATTAAACTAGACATACCCAGTTCCAGCAACCGTTCTTCATGTTTTAGTCTCCAGTCCCCTAATCATCTTTGTTGCTCTTCTCTGCACTCTTTCTAGAGTCTCCACATCTTTTTTACATCATGGCGACCAAAACTGAATGCAGTATTCCAAGTGTGCCCTTACCAAGGCATTATAAAGTGGTATTAACATAGTGGTATTTACTTTTAGGAAGTATATTTACATAGATATAGGTATATTTCAATTTACTTATTCCTCAAATTTGTACATTGGATGTCCTTCATGAATATACAATGCAACCCAAAGTGCACTTAGATGCACCAGGGAGGATTAAAGAATGGGAGATGATCACTATCAAATGGAGAGAACTAAAAAATAGCAAAGCAAAAAACCACTACTTCCTAACTTTTAAAAAATAGTCATAAACTAACCAAAGGCTATGTCTGAAACCCTTGTGTTGGAAGCAAAAAATATTGCACAGAGGTAATTCTGAACCCCACTGGACTTGAAAGTTCAGATGGACATTACCTTGAACCTCCAGTTTAAAAAGTGAATAGAAATTGGTTTCTCTATAAACTAGTTCTTTAAACCCAATTTCTCTCCTTTTAAAATATCCAAATTAATCTGCAATGCAATTGCCATTTCACAATTGAAAGGATTTCAATTATGCAATATAATCGTTATAGTGCTTCTTTTAGAACAATCTTCCTTAATGGTGTACTCCCTCCAGGTGTGTTGGTATATTGGCTGAGAATCCTGGAATGTGTTAATATCTGGAGGGCATTGGGTTTTATAATAGCTGCACCCATATAGATTTAAAAGGAATGCTGCTTCTATATGTGTTATTCAAATGGATACAGAACAAAATCTGGGAATGGCAAGGAGAAGCAATATTCCAGAAGAGTAAATTTCACAATTCATTATATATTTTATTAGTCTAAATCAGAATACCCCACTTCAACAGTCTCCAGATCAATCACACTATAAATCCCATCATTTAGTCAAAACCTAAGCCAATAAGCAATATTTAGTCATTTAACATATCAGGTACTAGATTGGAAAAAGCTGCTCTTAATGTTCAGCCTATCCTTCCCTCATTTAAGTCAGCTGACTTTTCAGCCTCACTTCATTGTACAGAAAAGCACATGCTACTGAAACCAATGGGATTTGTATACACAAAGCAGTGCTTAAATGTATCATGTAGACTTTAAATCCATTTGCCAACTTACTCTGCCTTCCCTTTGGAGACCAAAGTTTAAAAAGTTATCTACAGTTCTGGTACCTAGAACTAGGAGAAGGCAGTAGAAGCTCAGTCAGTGCTGAAGCTATTTCTGCTAGGGCTGAGCAGCACTCCTCTGAAAGCAAATGGGTGCTTCAAAACAGAGGAGTCACAAATGAAGCACCTCTCTGTATCCTTTGAAATCAAGGTTGTCTTTCTTCCCAAGATTGCATGGCAGCTGCAGACTACATCATTACGTGATTCCAAGAAAAGGCATGGCTACTTTAAAGAGTTGCAGACAGATGCTATGTTTATGCTGCCATGTACCTTGAAGCACCATATACCTTTGAATTTGAAGTACTATATACAGTAGCTATTAACTTTGTTGCTAACATTAGTCAACTGAACACAATGTTCTGACCCAGCCTTAGCAGAACCGAGAAATAGACTTGTCACGAAAACCCTCTCTTTATCTCCTGTGAATTAATGACATTCACACACAAAAAGTCCACGCAATAGTCCTTCAAGGATTTAACTGCAGTAAGAGTCCTTATCATTTCCTTGCCATAACTGCCAGGCTGAGAGCTCCCAGTCACAAAGCTGCAAATTAAGTTCTGGCAAGAAGTCTCTGAGGCAAGAAGTCTCTATGAGGAGCCAAATCTTCAGAAATCCAAACTGTTGTCTCCTATGACCATCACCTTCTTTTTCTTCTATTTATTCCCCAGCCAGATAGAGGCCTTGCTTCCCAACTTGGCTCCTCGTCCTTAGTTCTCCTCTCCTAACAGCTCTGTGCATACGCACATCTGGAACAGGCCCCAGCATTTCTTCCTCCCCATTTATCTCAGCCTCCAAAGCTTCTTCGGTGGCTGGCAAATGTTGAACAGCCCTGGATCTATCCATCACAGCCTTCTCCAGACTCCAGAACTGGCCCAAGTTCCTCCCCAACCTCTTCATTGTCTGAATCTGCTGCCAGGCCACAACACACAGCATCAGTGCATTCGTTGTTGTTGTTTTTTTAAATGATATTCTGCACATGCGGCAGCATCTAAATAACTTTGGCTGATTTCAAAAAGTTAACTGGCATCAAACTGGATTAGTATTTTAAATGGAGGTCCCAGGACTATAATTTTGACTTGGAATCAAAGAAATAACTTTTGCATTCTTGCCAAGAAAAGTATATAGACGTGTCCATGAAATCACAGGAGTTGTCTTGGCCTCAAAGGAAAACTAGTTTTACATTTTGCAGCTTACACTTGCTGCAGTCAGATGGGAAGAAGTGGAAAGAAAGTAATCCCAAAAGTAGAAATGCAAATGATATGGAGTAAAGTTATGAGATATGTAGCTGAAATCACGCAAATTTGAGTCATGCAAGTTAACAGAGAAAGGAGTAAATGTGATTACATTAATGTTAAGTAACAGAAAACAACTTCTAGAAAACTATTAAAAATATACCTATTAAATGGATTTATATTTACCTGCTGTCACTTTATTTAGTGCCACCAAGGAACTAAGCACTTTACTGAAGTTCTGTCCTTGGTAGAGATCATTTGCATCAAAGGTCTAAAAAACAACAACATGGTCTTATTAGAATCTAGCGGGGGAAATCAACACATTTTTGAAAAGCCTGTTAATATATAGTAATGACCCCGATATTTATAGTTTATTTTTATACAAAATCCATTATTTGTGTTAATTAAATTTGGAGCTGCACAGGCCTGATTGATACAAAAGAGATAAAACATGATTTATAATCCAGCAAGACTAGGTTCAAACACCATGTCAATCCCAGATTCAACACTCCATAGTATCATGTGTAAACCAGCAATGAATTAAGCGAGACTTTGCAGAGCTGTAGCAATCAAAAATATTAAACTTATACTGGACAGATCTGGGCTCAAAACCAGAACAGACGATTGAGTGATTCAGATCTTCTTAAACCAAGAATGTTAACTTTTCCCAGCTGAAGGACTGCATTAAAATACTGCAAAAGCAGGTGAAGATACATCCCAATCACATACATTGATGTAAGAAATGCTTGATTTCTTCCAATATTTGAAGTTTTTCTTTGTTTAAACAAAGAAAATACTGATAAACTGAATTATTTAGACTTGTACCACTTCTTTTTTCCATCATCAGTTGTCTAGAAACCGTACCATCAATTTTCAAGAGCAATAGCTAGAAGAGCTTGGGGGTAGCCCTAAATCACAAGTTGTCACACTTAAATCCATAAATAATGTGGCTTCTTCAAGTTTCATTTTATCTGTTGTCTATATCAGTGTTTTTCAACCACTGTGCCGCGGCACACTAGTGTGCCGTGACATAGTGTAAGGTGTGCCGTGGGGAAATTACTTTATATATAGTCAATATAGGCCCAGAGTTAATTTTTTTTAACATTTTCTAATGGTGGTGTGCCTCGTGATTTTTTTCATGAAAAAAGTGTGCCTTTGCACAAAAAAGGTTGAAAAACACTGGTCTATATAACCCATCCTTTGTACATTATAAGCCACAGTACAATAAAATATCATTCTAGGGTTGTGGGGAGGGGATGTCCATTATTTATGAAGATCCATTAATACAAAAATATGTCATATTGACAATTATCATCTGTATAGTGATCTCATGTGTGAATGGAATTGTGTCCTATTCAACAGATGGTGCTTAAACCAGGGTTTAGAATGACGTCTGAATCCAGTGATCTATCATTCGTATACACCTTGGAAGCTTGTCCAAAGGATAGTATATTCCATCTAAATCCTTGAAGAAAGGATAAGAAAAACATTGTTTCACATGCAAGACTACAAGCAGGATTGTATTTAATGAGAAGAATACTAAGAGTCACCAGCTTATAGTGAAGTACAGGGTAGAACTGCAAAACTGTATATTCAATCCATGTTATTTCCTCTTTGCATTTTATCTCAGATTTTAAAGAGCAAATATATAAAGCAGGATGTGACTCAAACTTTCAAGTATAACAGTACAGCAATACAATAACTACATAGCAAGGAACACTTTTATGATATTTCTATTACATCTATTTTAGCATACATTACATATGCATCTGTGAGAGAAAGCACAGGTTTGTTGCCACTTTTTTAAAAATAAATTTATATTACATGAAACTTATATACTTCAGCAATATTTGTCAATTCTAAGTGGGTCACATATCCTATTTCTTTAAATAAAATTAACACAGTACATATAGAGCGTTGAATAAAGAGTAATTCCACTTTTTCACACAAAAAAACCTGAAAGGTAAATCACCTCACAAGAATGCACAAACTATTATAAAAACCATGTAAAATTAGTTTTATAACTTGAACGTTCATTGATTATGTAGAAGCCAGAAAATATTCTTTTGAACTCACAGTATTATTATTTTTTTTAGAAAATATGAAAATGCAAATGAAATAAAAGTATTGATGGACTTAAGTAAATGAACAGAATAAGCAGCATATTTTGAAATATCTCCATAATGGAAACATTCTAAATGGCATTTAATAGCATTTGCTTCAGTTTTTAAAAAAAGCAAAATTAAGTTATAACCATTATTAGGAAATATTTGGTTTTTGAAAATACATTGCACATGTAGTATAAGTATCAGAAAAATGAAAACTTCTATTTTTTATTCCTATTAACTATAATGATAACTTGCCAATAGACACATATAAAAAAGTTTCATGTAACCTAATCCACTAAAATTTAAAAAAATGGGTTAGAATAGAAAGGTTATTACAATGTACCAATATAAATAAAATAATAGTTATTAAATCTACCTTTCTACGGGTTCATAGCCTCATCCAATTTAAATGTTGCTAGCTTTTCAGACTGAAAACTCTTTTATAAAAGTTCTAAAATGTATATATAAAGGGCATATAGTATGGATATTACTATTACTCCATTACACTTGTTCATAAATCCTTTTTTGCAAAGCAAAGTATATAAAATGTTATTTACATCCTACACCTCTTCTACATCTTGTAAGCATACTCCAATTTTGCTATACCTCTAATAAGAGGTATAACATCAACAACAAACCTCACAAATACCAAATTTAACATCAGAGACACACAATAGTGGTATACGTTTGGCAGGTTTTGAATCTATTAAGTACAGTAAATATACTCAACAAAAATATTCTGCAAATTTCTTCCTAAAGTCTATTAAAAAAAGAAAACTTCCATTAATTTTTTTAAAAATTCTGGTTTTTTATGTTTCAGAAACTAAGATGATGCAAGATTAAGGCAAAAAAGTGGTATCCTAAATCCTAAAAGCCATTTAAAATGAAAATTTTAAATAACAAACTATTTAAAAACAAGAAATTTCTCTAAAATAGCAAGGGAAGAATAGATTTAAACTCACATCCATTGTAAATTCTCACTCAGTAATAACTTTCTAAACCAGCATTAAAAGGAGTCATAAAATAACAGGATGTTAAGGGGCTTATGTTTCCTGTCAGATTCGGACTATCTGGCATATTGAAACAAGTTGATTGGCTCACCCGAACTGAATCATCATCATCATCATCGTCATTTGCATTCTGCACCTTGCATGTGTTACTCAACAGGAAAATAAACAGGATAAAGGATAGGGGAGGGAAGAACGAAGTATGTGTATGTACTACACTGACTATATGAAAGTGATTTTATGACATATCAAAAATTTCTTCATGTAAGATAATAGTCATATTAACAGAGACAAGTATTGAAGTAGCTAATACCCAAGGACTCAAGATCACACCAAGAAAGGAACGCCTTTCTTTGCATCACAGAAATTGCATTTAGACATACGCATGGTATGCTCTTTAGCATAAAGATGAAAATTATTTTTCTCCAGTTGCTTCTCAGGAAGCAGAGCTGTGAAGATTCTGGAATGCTATCTACTGATCCTTCTGGGAGTAAACCAAAAAGAAATAAAACTATACAGGTAGAAATATCAATTCCTAAAAAAAAAATAAGTACCGTATATTTTGGAGTATAAGACGCACCGAATATAAGATGCACCAAGATTTTGAAGAGGCAAATTAAAAAAAAAAAGTTTTTTCATTCTGCAGACCTCCCAAAAACGCCCCATTTTTCACAAAAACGGGACAGTTTTTTATCAAAAAAAGGGCATGCAAAAACGGCTTTTTTCACTCATTTTTGCTCTCCCCAGCTCCCAGGAGCACTCTGAAAGCCTCCTAAAGACTGTGCACAGCCATTTTGGTGAAGGGGCGGGGTTTCAGGAGGCAAACAAATGCTGTATTCAGTGTATAAGACGCACCCAGATTTTCACCCTTTTTTTTTTAGGGAAAAAGGTGCGTCTTATACTCCGAAAAATACGGTATAAGATGCCATAATAAAAATATCCATGCATTTCAGTACATTTGGGAGAGTTTCAGCAGACCATGTTGCAATACAGTATTTATATTCAAAACATGGTGGTTGATAAACCATATTAGTGCACATTTGGTGCATTTCTTTTATTTTTTTTCTTCCCCGTTAATTCTGAAACCTCAATTTCAAGATTCACTGCCAACTCTAAAGTTACATACATGGCTATTACCAGTATAAAGGAGTTGCCTCTCTTTTGGACTTGAATTTTCCTTTGTCGCTTTTTTTAGCATGGACCATACTGCAGAATCTAACATTCTAGCATCTGTCCAGAGTAGATCTACACTTCTGTAGATCCATTCTAGATGCCCTACTATGTCTGGGATTTTAAAAAAAATAAGAATTCCTACCCCTCATTTACAATAAGAACAGGAAAGGTTTTGGGTTGGTTGGTTTTATTTCATGGCACATGTATTCCCTAGGTCTAGGGGATGCAGTCCTTGAGTTGTAAACCTCTGGGTTACATTTTAGGATCATCTTACCACCTACATCAAGTTATAGAAGAGAAATTTTGCCTTTTTCTGAACTTACAGACTTTCCACCAAAATATTGCAGAGGAAATGCTAAGATCATTAGCCTTAGTACCGAAATATTCTTGTTCTCCTTTCTCTACTCTATTCTTATTCCCTTGATGCCTTTCTTTTTAGTGTATAAGCTTGGAAGGCAGAACAGACTTTTTCTTGATTTGCAAGCTACACTGGGAGCTCTTCCAAACGAAGTGCTGGCATGCTTTGAATAAATAATTCCAGAGTTTCCAGCTGGCATATTTATAAATCTATTCCTACTTGCTTATTTAAACAAGGAACATTTTTAGATTTTAAATCAAGCAAGGGACTAATACTTTTATTGTCATCTCTCCACATCCCAAATTCCAAATATTTTGGCTCACTTTGAAAATGAAAAAAAAAACTAATTGATTTTCATAGAAATAGATTACATGTGTACCAAAACCTTTTTGAACAGGTGATCACATTCAGAATAAAGGGTTCATGTTGTGAACTCTTTTTCAGAATTATTAGGGGGGGTCCTTCCCATTCACAAAATGACTACCAATACAACCACTCACAAAACACCAATTTTCCTAGCATCCCATTTTATCTTTGCAGTATGCTTTGGATACTTTGGAGGCAGAAAGTTTATGTTATGACTAAAGATTTTAAACTTACAAATATCATCAGGAATCTGCTTCAGAACCACTTGTTTATTGTGGAGTTCCAGGGAAGGGGGAGTAGATGAAAGAAGTAAAGGGAACAGCTTATCACAGGGTAGTGTATTGGCTCCAACCCTTTTTAATATTTAACCAATGATCAGCTACTCCATGAAGGTACTAACAACTATATGTATGCCAGTGGTGGGATTCAAACATTTTTTACTACCAGTTCTGTGGGCGTGGCGTGATTTGGTGGGCGTGACAGCAAAATCCCCATTTCCATCCCACTCCAGGACAAGGATACTGTAAAATCCACCCCACTCCAGGGGAAGGATACTGTAAATTCCCCATTCCCTCCCCACCCCACTAACCAGTCAGAGTTAGTATTTGTCAATTCTCTGAACTACTCAAAATTTCCGCTATCGGTTCACCAGAACGGGTCAGAACTGGCTGAATGCCACCTCTGATGTATGCTGATGATCAAGCAATAGCTATATAGGGTGCTGCAAATTATATGGAAAGGGATGCTATTGGGGCATTGCTACAGTCCTAAATATTTAGGGGATGACTCTAGATAAGGCCCTAACAGGTAAGCAGCACTGTACCAACTCTAAACTGAAGGTCAGTGGATGAAATCATATCCTCCGGATATTAATGAGCTCTACCTGGGGTGCTAAATCAAGGGTTTTTAAGAAAACAGCTTTAGCTCTTTGCTACTCAGCAGGGGAATATGCCTGCCCACTCTGATATAAATCAGCACATGCTGGGATGTTGCTCTGAATGAAGCTAGCAGAATTATTGCTGGATACCTTAAACCTACCTCTCTAGATAAGATCTATCATCTAGCTGGCATTCTTCCATCTGCTGTCATAGAGAAGCAGCAAGATATATAGAGAGGCTTAAATCATCAATATCTAGACAACATCCTCTCCATGGCCTAAAGCCAGTTCATCAGAGATTAAAATCTAGGAAAGGCTTCCTTAGGTCGACAGAAGGCTTCAAAGAATTTAAAAGCAGAGAAGATCTCTGGAAAGCTACAAAGAACCAACACTGGACGGAACCAATGGAGGAGCTGGGTCTGGCAAAAGCTGGAAAGTATGGAAATCACTGAATAGACTGCGCATGGACACAACAAAATCCAGAGACACTCTGAACAAATAGGACTAATGGGTAGCTTCTTCCCTTTATGATTGTGGTGACATGCAGACACAACACATATGTATACCTACCCTTTGTGGATCTCATGGTAGTGCAACAGAATGTAATCAATATTGTTAGTTTCTAGACAAGAGTAGCTTAACTTGTACATGTTTTAATACTGTCTTTTATGTTTTAAATTTTGTGTCGTATTGTATGCCTTATTTTAATTGTGATGCTTCTGACATGAATACATGAATAAATAAAGAAAGAAAGAAAGAAAGAAAATCTTTATACTTTTACTGGGTAGGTCAGTACACTTGTAAAACAAGCAACCACCCATTCTTATTTTCTAAGAATTCCCAGGGTCAGCCTTGGAAATAAATATAATGCTTAAAAATGATGCTTTGCTTTCTTAATATCAACTTCCATTTGGTTGATTATACTTTTTAATGTAAACAGTCAGACATGGAAGATAGTCTTATGGCACCAAAGAGAACATCTACAGGCACACTGACACTCCAGATAGAGCATGATCCCTGACATAGATAATTTTAAGTCAATTTCTTAAATCACTGGCTACTAAATAAACAATTGCCTGTGTTGATCCAAAACGTTAGTTTTGCTAATAACTCCCAATAGTTGAGCTCCCACACTGTGCTAAAATAAAACCAAACAAATGTATGAGTGAAAATAAATGGAATGCTTAGTAAATGTAATAAACATTTATGATCCAGAGTAGAGAATGGAACAACGATCTTTGAGTTTTCCTTGATTATATAATTATGGATTCTTATGTAATAAACACTTATGGTGACATACAGATTATATATAATCCAAAAATCCCTTATCTTTTCATGAAGATGCTGTACTGCTGCTAGCTAAGGATCCTTATGATTTATATCAAACATTAGATACATAGTATAATAAAATGAGAAATATGGATCTAAAAATCGATGTTTTGAAAATCAAGGTTTAAAAGTAAAAATATAGTGAATAAGTTCAAGTTATGCACAAATGATGAAAAATTAAATGTATTTGTACAATTTTATAGATTAGTGTATCTTTAGATACACATCTTTACACTAGAACATTTACTGAAGATTAAAAAAATGAATGAAGAACTGATAATATAGTTGAATCATAGAAAATGGATGAGGAACAAATTGCAAAATATATCTATGAAGGAAGGAAAAATGGGTTTAGAAGATAGAAAAGACCAAGAAAATAATGGTTAGAGGGAGGTGACAAGATCCTCCAAAAGAGAGAAGAGACAGGTTTAAGGAACAAAAGGAAACATATAAAGCAGAGTACAGATATGGATGTTTGCAAGAATAGAAAGCAATGAGGAAATAGAGATCACAGAATCATAGATGTAGTGAATGGTGTTAATAACTAAATGTAATTAATTTATTTTTCTTGTCTCCTTCATAAGGGGCAAGGGGAGGAATTATTTGCATACTTTTGTTAAAAAGGAATATAGCACACTAGATTTTCATGTGTGAGATTTCCAAGACAGGTTCTAAGATGAAGAGCAACTTTGCATGTCATATGAGACAGCAAATGTACTATGAAACTACAAATAAAAAAATTCTGCAACTAAATGAAAATCTTACTAAAGGAATTTTGGACATGATAGAAATAACACTTTTATCAATGACTGGATTCTTTGGTCATGGAGGACTTCATCTACAGTAATGCATTAAAACATGTTTAATAGCAGAAAAAGGGTGGCTCAGTGGCTAAGCTTTTCGATCAAAAGGTCGGCAGTTCAGCAGTTCAAATCCCTAGGGCTGCATAATGGGATGAGCTCCTGTTACTTGTCCCAGCTTCTGCCAACCTAGCAGTTTGAAAGCATGTAAACATGCGAGTGGAAAAATAGGGACCGCTTTGATTGGAAGGTAACAGTGCTCCGCGCAACTTCAGCATTTAGTTACGCCGGCTACATGACCACAGAGACATCTTCAGATAGAGCTGGCTCTTCGGCTTTGAAATGGAGATGAGCACCTCCCCCTAAAATTGGTAACGACTAGCACATATGTGCAAGGGGAACCTTTACTTTAATAGCAGAAAATCCAGACATAAATATAGAGGATGCCCTAAATGACCATATATCCCACTTTGTTTTATTTGGTCAACTCAGGACAGTGAACCCAGATAATAACCCTTCCTCCTATTTTCCCCATAGCAACTTTTTGAAATGGGTTGGGCTGCAAAAACGTCACTGGCCCAAAGTCACCAGCTTTCATGCATAAAGGAGGTCTCATAAATCTTCTGATTCCTAGCAGCACCTAAACTTTCCCAACCTGGCTCTCACTTCCCCAACGTGAAAAGAGCTATCACTAAATTACTCACAAGGTCAAAACTGGTTATATTGACACAACAGGCTTATCCAATAAAAATTTACTAAATTAACTCAGGTGAATGAGATACCACACCATAATCAAACAGCACAGACTAGATTTTCAAAATAGACCCAGACTTCAGTGTAGGGGGTAGAGACTTATGAAAAAATGCAAGTGAATACACAAGGTGAAGGTTAACTTTTTTCCCTCAAATCTAAGTACTTTATTAGTTCTCTAGCAGGATGCTTTCTGCTGTGAGGCTAATACTAGTCAGGAGCAGCCTGGGAGTAAGTATTCTAAGCCTCAAGACAAGCATTCCAATGCACACAGAGTTCGCCATAACCACAGATCTATCCTCTCTTTCCTGTCCTACCTCCCCAGTTCTTTGTAGGGAATAGTTTAAACTTGATTGCAAAAACACTGTTCAAACAATGCAACAGGGTGGCATAAATTGTGGTTTTAAACGTAGAGAAAATATAGAATTGGTCCCTGTGAACAAACAGCTTTATGGACGTGCAGACAGAAATCAAACATATTTACACCGGGCTATTGACAGCCTCACCTGTGCAAAACAAGACACAGGGATGATTCTTGTTCCCAGACACTCCGATTCATTCTTTTGCAGAGATTTTACCCCCACCATCCCCCCCACGACGCTCCACAGGTAGACATGCAGTCGCCTCCCATCCCATTTCCTCACCTCCAGGCGAAGGGTGGCGCCGCATGCCCGAAGAAACTCTCGGATGTTGCTCAGGCACTCGCTCTCGGTGCGCGGCTCCGGATAAACCTGCAAGAGGAGGAGGAGAAGCAGAGCTCGTGTCAGATCGGGCTTGGGCTCCAACTGCGGGAAAGCGCTCGAGAGAAGCCACCCCCGGACTTACCTTCCGGGACAACTCTTCCCGGTAGTTCCCATTCACTCCCCTGCTTCTCCCGTCTTGGGCTTCCCTCGAAAGCGGCGTTTGATTTGCTGCGCCCGTGACGGGAGAGGTGAACCGGGAAGTAAACACGAAAGCAGGAAATGGCGTGTGAAGAGGACGAGGGAAGTCTCTGTCCTCCACCCACCCCGGCTCATTTTCCCTGATGGCTGCCTCCCTGTCCCTAGCCAATAGATGCTTCCCATCCTGAGGACCACTTGTCCCCCCCCCCTTCCAAAAAAGCGCGCCTAACGAGTTTCGACCCCACCCCGGGGAGGGCAAATTTGCATATCTTTTTTCAGCGGGGGGGAGGCAACTAATATGGTTGCAAATGGAAGTGGTTCATTGTTCCTCTCCTGAATTGCTCCCCTTTCCTCAAAGGTTTCTGCATTTTTAACATTCTCCCACCATTGCCTTCACCAGAAGCAATGGGTGGAAACTAATCAAGTTGAGAAGCAACTTAGAACTAAGGAGAAGTTTCCTAACAATTAGAACAATTAATCAATGGAACAATTGGCCTCCAGAAGTTGTGAATGCTCCAACACTGGATGTTTTTAAGAAGACATTGGATAACAATTTGTCTGAAGTGGTGTAGGGTTTCCTGCCTAAGCAGGGGACCTTCCAATTCTGTTATTCTATTCTATCTTATCCCCATGAGTGAAATAGCTTAAGACATCCCAAATGGAACTAAGGTTAAAAGTAAAATTTATCCTCTTATGTGAAAGGCATCCAAAAGCACCATCTATTAAAGGGAAATTAAGTGACTGGCAATGATTGGAAATAGAAGCAATAAAAAAAGGGCAGGAACTGGCATATGTCATGCCGCCATAATTTTGTTGCTTCAAAGATGAACAGAAAATGCTATTACTCAAGAGTAGAGAAATGTCTATAGAGTGTTCCATTTATTATTAAAACTGGTTTTTTAAAAAGGCTAAGTGCACATTACATGCACCCATTATAACTGGATCATTTGAAGCAAAAGTTCTGTGATATTTTTTTTCAAAATATGTTTTTCTAGATGTGTTCAAGAGAGCTGGCAATCATTAAATCATGAACTACATGATAAAACCTAATAGAAAAACATAGAGAATAGAATAGAGAATAAAATTCTTTATTGGCCAAGTGTGATTGGACACACAAGAAATTTCTCCTTGGTGCATATGCTCTCAGTGTACATAAAAGAAAAGATACATTTATCACAAATCATAAGGTATCAGAATCGAAACCCCTTAGTTAACAGAGAATAAACTCTTATCCAATTTCAGGACATGAAAAAAACACAAATGGTCCCAAGCTGACTGACAAAACTGCAGCTACCAGAAAAAAAACGTTGTGCCACAATCTGAACCCTGTTCTTTAGGGGGAAAAAGCAGAACAGATTCTTCAACCCCAAATAGAATGATGATCATATCTGATGAAGCATTTGAATTGTGTATTTTTAATAGAAAAGTAGATAATATTGTAGCTAAATGGCGCCCCCAACCTTTTGGGTGCCAGGGATCGATTCCATGGAAAGAGGTTTTTCCGCAGTCAAGAGGAGGCATGGTTTTGTGCGCTGCCTGCATCCTGCGCATGCACGGATGGGGGTTTGCTCGTTTGCATGGCCGATTTCTGGAGTGTTCCAGCCTGGTGCCTGTCCATAACCTGGGGTTGGGGACTAGGTAGCCAACATTTTGATGGGCATTGCTCATTTTTATTGTATTATGCCAGGACTGAAAAAAACATCACTATCTAGTTCTTATCAGAAATGTGTCAAACAGTTTTGGATCTATGAATAGGCATCTATTCCTACAGCACAACTCCCCAGGCACAATGTACTAACTTGGAAGCCCACAGAAGCTTCCAGAGAAATTAAGTCCCAGATCTTTATGTGGAGTTTCCAAATGTTGTCAGCCATGGTCAATACAGATAATAGTAAGGAGTGACAGAAAGTCTATACCACTAATATAAGGAAGATCTTAGTTATCTCTGTACCATAGCTAATAGCTACTTATAGCTAAGACCATGGTAACAATGAATTCCTTACATCTAGATAGTTTTTCAGTGCTCATCTATCTTTGATTTATAGGAAAATTCAGTCTGGATTTTTCAGTCTTGATTCTGAAAGAATTTCTCAGTACTTGTAGCAATTTATAATTGACTCTAATGAATAACTTCACCTGAACTCAGTACTTATAGCAATTGATAATTGACTCTAATGAATAACTTCACCTGAAGAAAAATATTTTAAAAGTTCAAAAATATCACATATTTTTGTCCCTGTAGAAATATTTTAATGTATACTAATCATCAACTTTTTTTAACTGCTTCAAAAATGAATTGATGAATAAATTCCATGAAAGTGCCAATAAGAGATTGCATAAGAAACCTTACAATAAAAGAGCAAATTTGGAACTGTTTCCTTTTACAGGGTAAATTCTTCTCATTGATTATTTAAATTATAGACACAAAAGGGTAGAAATTAATAGCCATCATTTAATAGTAACAGGTGGCTTCATGCTTGCATTCATTCATGATTAATGCTGGCAATCAATTACTGTTCTTTGGTATCCATATTGAACAGAATATACTTCATTTGAAAAGAAGCTGCATAGACAATCATTTCACTATGCATGCCCGCCTTATTTGTGATAAAATGCAATCAGTTAGCAAGACAATATAGCCTGCGGAGCTAAAAGATGAGTAACTTATTACAAAATGGTTTTTAAAAAAGGAGAACATTTGTGGCTCAGGGTTGAAATGAGGGATTCTTGGTGCTCTCTGAGTGTGGTTTTCTTGCTAACACTGATGATGTTACCTAGTTTGGGTAATGAAATGTCTACAAGAAAACAACTAAGTTCAGAGAGCATCAAGGACCCTTCAGAGTGGTTTTTATATATGCCAGCAACTTAAAATGACTGAAAATAATCTTGTGGTGCTAACAAGCACTGTCTTCCAAAGATGTATTTGTGAACAGACCAGCTATCAATAGGATAAAGCTACCTTTCCCACACATTATGGAAGCAAATAATTGTTTTTTATCTAAACTTTTTTTGTGGGAAGGGTAGTTCTTAAATTATGGTTGCCTGTCTTTTGAGTAAATGCAATACATGTGACGTCTCAGTTATTTAAATCATTCCCTTCTAATGGTAATGTCTCTTGTCTGTTTCCACATACCCATGCATGCTCCTGGCTCCCACCCAATGATGAAATGGTTTAGAGCTTAGACCATGGTTATCCAATCTTTTTGCTTGCCTGGTTCATACTGAATGAAGGGGAATAGTCTTAGGCTGCATATAAAATATATGATATAGGTAATGTATATAAATAATAAACTTCCTTTATATATATATATATATATA